CTGTCAACTCAGTCATCTTCAACATGGCTTGACTAATCTTCCATGTGATGATCCCTCGTGCTAATCCAGGATCACTTTTGTGGAAGTAATTCACGTCGCTCGAGTCAACTCGCTGTAATGACGATTGACAACCGCGAGATTCGAACCGTTTTTCGGAGTTATATGCGGTGGTTGCATGTTCCGCATTTCTGTACGGTTTCAATAAGTTCTTTAACAGTGTCTGCAAATTTTAAACAATGATAAAGGCTTGTAAGTGCAATGGCTCAGGTCCCCGTTCCACGATACCATTTGAGGATGCCTGCACCATTAACAACACTTCGCTCATCAGAGGGAATTTCAAGCATTTTATCTGGGTTAGGTGAACGACAAATTGGAGATCAAAAGGTCGGAGTGCTTTGATGGAATTGACAGATTCCCCATCACAATGATTGATGGATAAGGTAGCGTAAAATTTATTAAGTCTAGAGTTCGCGTTTGGAGACCGAATGTGAGTACGTGAGAAGGAACAACTTGAGCTCCTCTTCTATTGAGTAAGCCTGTCTCTTTCTTCGGGTTTAATTAAAAATCGCGGTTATGCATTGCTTATTATTGTTTCTTCCATCCAGAACCACATAGGAGGGGCGTGTGATCACTGCAGATTTCGGAGCGAAATGTTCGTATTAATCCATATGGAAAACTCAGAGTTAGATAACCAGGTAAGTCATAGGCAGAAGTCAAATGCAGTTGATAATGGTTAAACTAGGATGAGGAGCGAACAGAACTTCTTGAGTAACCGGGTAAGATGTCATGTTCGGAAAAGTACATAACGGGTGGAACGCAATAATAAACAAATGCAGATATAACAAAGGGTCTGGCATTAAATAATAACATATTTCATTGGATTCGAAAAGGTGTTGCTGACTACCATACTTTTCAGAACAGAATGCAATCAGTTGATCGGTAACGGTGAAGGAATCATATTGATTGGCTTCTTCATTGACAGTATTAGAAAATGCGATGCTTGAGAGAACTTTCGACCACATCAGACAAAACTGCTGGCTAGCCAAATCAACTGGTCGGCGTCGATATAATCGGGCCCCTGCCGGACACGCTTATGAACCACAAATTCATTATTGTTTTGATATCTTATTTTACAAACTGGTGTGAGTCCGAGCCACTAAAACAAGTCGATGCTTTGACCGTGACAGATGCAATATTAGCCGGCGGGTTTACAGATGCGGTGCACCCGCGTAACTGCGTTCCGACTGTGGAGCAAATTTCGAGAGCGCTCAACTGAAGGAAGTAGGCAATGCTCTGGGAATAAATAAGACAACAAGAACAGTTTACCACCCTCAAGACAACGGTCAAGAGGAGAAAAGGAAATGTTGCCCAAAAGCTTTACCAAAGGCCTTCACAGGAACTTACCCCAAAGTGTGGGACCGCGTACCACCACTCTATCTTCTCGCGTACACCAGCACGGTTCAACGATCTATTGGCCAAACGCCATAATTTCTATGGACTGACAACTCACAACTAATGATTGTTCGCCAGTTATGGACGGTCTCTGTTGCGTCCCAAATTAGTAGGCAAATGAGCACACAACGAATGAAGCAGTAAGTTTATTGTAAACAGCAATTATGTATCCAGTACAGAAGCCGCAGAACAGGCAGGAACGATCAGTATGTAGGAAGGTAGGCAGACAGGCAGTGTCTGTCACACACGTTCACTACATGCGAATACCGTCAAGCCAGAATTCAAAAAGTCAGTCAATCGATCAACCGATTGATCAATCAATCAATTTGACCACAGGTATGTATGAACGCAAATCAGTCAGTTGTAAGCCAAAAACGTCTCAGAGTATATGTCAAAGGTGATCGACTCACCAGATGGCTAGCATCCACCTCGAAGCATCGCAGATATATCGCGTATATTACGATAAGAAATGATTCGAAGCCCACCGTTCCCTTTACAGGCAGTGCAATTTGTGCGACGCCTGGTACAGTGATACAAGACACTGAGAACGAAAGCGAAAACAGCACTTACACCTAACATTGGCATTTTGTATTGTAACCATTTCATATTCTTGTAGTGTTGCTACGCTTTAACGCAATGCAGTTTCAATCCAGTTCTTGAGGCTTCTATTTCTATCGGAGACACTACAACGAAAACAGAAATTAAACTATCGCCCAATGTTTGCAACTACTTTGCATAATCAGACTTTCTGTTTTCATGCAGCACAAGGTGGTTGCTTGTTTCGGGTATCGCGCCTCGCCCATCTCAGCACCAGCCTCGTGGAAATGACTCACTTCGAAACATTCACAACCTAATTATTTGTTGTATGAGTGTAGTGAAGGATTTATGTGATATTAAGTGACGCGTTTAGATTTGAGTTAGTAAAACAGGAAACTGGTCAGAAACCAGCTATTTTGAAAAGAAAACATTAAATATATAAAGCACTGATCATGGTCTATCTGATTACTGCTTTCACATGATTTCTCCTGATATGTTCAGTGTAAGCCCTTTGAGAGTGAATGCAGTGACCGGTACCCAATCGACCGTCCCTAGAAATGAACAAATCGGGCATGGTGTAAAAATGTAGGAGAAGAGCCACCGAATTATTCCTCATGGCCCTGCTCCCTGATTCACTCCACCGCTATAGTGAATCTTCAGAGACTTTATTGCTGATCATAAGATATGTTCTCCTATTTATTTGCACTCATTTTCATATTGTGGAGGCCCTTAATTGTCCCAGGTTTATAAAACGCTGGAAGTGGAAGTTAGCCTTCGAGTGACGTTCAAAGCAGTTTATTGACTAAATTTCAGCTTTGGCCTAAATATTGACACACGGTATAATCAATTAAAATATTTGTTTTCCAATTGAATGCAGTCATCTTGCAGGTTTGCTTTCTGATTACTTTACCACGTCTGTTTAAAAAAATGCACGAAAACCAACACTTTCACCCGAAGTGAAACATAGAACTACTGAATCTTGTGTCTTTGAAGCAACTGACCCGCCCGCTGGAACATTTTGGTTTGTGGGTTTCCTGGCAGAGGCTCACCGACAATTGAAACGAAATTATGAACGCTGCAGAAAAGACTAGACCTAATGGTAAAACAAATAGACGATTATCTACTATCCACAGGCGAAAAAATAAATGGGTAGAAACGAAAGGAATCTCTCCCCTGACCAGAATTCAGAGGATATCAACGCCTCCAGAAGAATATGAAATGCAGAATGACGACGCTCAATGACGGTTAATGACCACATCTTAATACTAAACATAAAACAACCGATTTCTTGAAAGCATAGTTTTATCAAAAAATTCTTCGTGTTTACCACTTTCCTAATTGACTGCCTTCAGCTTCGAGACCCAAACGGCAAAAGCCAAATTGTTGACAGCGTGCACTGTAACTATGTTGGTGACCCACATATGCAAAATAATCGCTCATTTGTACCAAGAGATTTAGGATTTCACGTTGAATTCTGGATTTTGGGAACACGTTGTCATTTGAGCCATTCTAAAATGTGGTAAGTAAGGCTCACCCATAAATCCGTCTTTTCAGCTATAAAAAGTGTTGAGGTCAATAGATTCTGCGATGGAATACTTCCAGAGGTATGACATTCTGTCGTCAGCTCAATACGAGTTTCTCGATGAAAACGGTGGACTACCACATAGCTGTTACTTGCACGAGATGGGTGGACATAAAGAGGTGTTGCGGAAGATAAAGTAGACGTAGCTCACCTGAACTTCTCCAAACCTTTCAATGGAATCAATCATGAAGTGCAACTGCGGAAGATCTAAGCTTGGGAAGTGGGAGAACATCATTTTGTAACATCAAGCAATGGGTTCTCTTTTCATACATACTCAAAAACAAACCATTTGTACTTATTCCAAACGATAAGGATCTGAGAGATATTTTAGAAATTTCCCTAGTCAACGGTTTGTGATCCAAGAGCTTCCTTGCAAAGCTGCAAATCACAGAACTCTAAGCAACTCAATACTCCCTAATTAAGCGTTGTCTGATCTGTTCATATCAAATAGTCGAGCCAAGTCAAGTAACCACGTGTACAGTACTCGGATGTGAATAACCAAGATTGATCACCTCAGAGACATCCCTCTACAAAGGTGCTCTAGAATGGTTCACTATATTGCTGACGTTTCTCTTGTGGCGCCACAGGATTTACTCTGGAGATTTTTCTTCCATTCCAAATTGTTTTTGCGACGACTATCGATTAGTTCAACTCACAACTGGATGATGCATTCACACGCCCAACAATCTGTTACCCGTGAGTGAACGTGGGTATGGTCTATTTGATTACATATTTTTCTCTTGCATTCTAAGCCAGTGTTTGAAGTTCTCCTGAGGATTCGACAGGGTTCATCTTTAACTTTTGATTGCAATTGTAGGCTTATCCCAATTGTAACCCTAGACACATCGGTGGTACAATAAATGCAATCGAAAACGTTCCAAATGTTTCGAGCAACGTGAAAAATGTATATTTATGATGGAAAATGGTGCACAAATGTACCGATTTCAAAACCCTGAGAACGCGTTACACCCGAAGTGATTTGGGGTCCACTCATTCGAAGCCAAATCAAATGTTCACTGAAAAAGTTCATAAATGCATAAAATGTGATTGATTTGACGGAAATACAATTTGACGCTATATATATTCATTCACTGCGAGTTTAACCCACGTGTAACCAGCACATTGAGCACAACTATTCTGTCGTCGTGAGTAAGATGCGAACCGCATTTGTCTATTGTCTGACACTCACAATCTTGCTGTTCGTGATAACCCAGGCTGAAGGGATAGAAAAAGGTACGTTTATGTTTTGCCGAAAATATTGAGATCCCATCCGAACCATGTTCAATCACTGTGCTCAGAACTGATTGGATCATATTCTGTGAGCACATTCACGTTTAGCTATGAAGCAATTCTATTCACTGGTTTATTTGTTTCTCGACGACTAATCACCTCACACTCAAATACATTCCATTCCTCACCAGGACGATGCATGCTTCGACCGGAACCCGGTAACTGCCGGGCGGCAATCACACGATACGCATTCAATCGTGCAACGAATAAATGCGAAGAGTTCATCTACGGCGGATGTGGTGGCAACGAGAACAATTTCAAAACGAAATTCGATTGTGAATTGGCTTGTATGCGTCGAATCTGAAATAATGGTCACAAATAAACCATTTTCACTCATCATGCTTTGTTGGTTTTCTTCAATCCGATGTGTTATTTTATTCCACTTTGTCGGTCCCTATGAATTACTATTAAAGCTGAATTAGTCCCGTGGTACATTGCTATCTATTGTTCGATACAAATGTTTTTAAGACCTTGTCGGTTGGACATTGGTTCCCCAGTGATTTTATGCATAAAACGTATACGAGCTTATTGAGTTTATTTTCGAGTCAACTATAACCAACTAGTTATTGTGCCCACCGACGACCCTGGGAGTATACTAACAGGTCTGTTTTCGAAGTAACTAATTGCAGATGTACCTCTGACGAAGACCAACAACAGGTTGGAAAAATTGAGAATCTCCGAACAGGAACTTTGAGAAATTGGAAAGGTAGTGGTGTTTTAGGTGGATCATTGTTGCGCACTGCCAGCATCACTGCCACCGTCTGAGTAACATCCAGACGAGAGTTATTTAGTTTGTGGTTAAAAAAGACTTTGAGTTTCAAGGACGAAAGCATCTAGTTTATGATGGAAGACCGTACCACTCGAGGAGCAGACAAAATTGAGATAATAGGAACAACACATTCAGCTACGATTAGAAACGTTTAGCTGAAACACTGGACTTACAATAGTTATGGCAAAGTGAGAATCGGAAGCTATTCATCGGTTGTATACACATGGTTTGTTCTTCAAGCACGTCCCCAATGACTCCCATATCTGCATGCATGTGCACTATATTTAAAATCGAAAATCTGTATGAATGTCTCTGTCTACCTGAATCTGTTCTGTTATCAGCTTGTTCTTTTCCGTCAAACAATTCAAATCACTCTCCATACTGATTATCAATATTTCGCGACTTTTACCGGTCCCAAGTGAATGTAGACTCTATTGGCTTAGGGTAACTATATTGCCTTGCTGTTGGTAAGATATCAGGCAGAAGCAAGTCTCGCTTACGTGATGGTGATGATGGCGGTGGTGGTGGCGGCGGGGGTGTTGGTGATGGTAGTGGTGGTGGTGCTTCGAGACCCTGTGTCTGAAGATCGAGTCACACCACTGTCAATCAATTTATGGTTAGATAGCCTCACTGTCATGGGACGCATTATTCCACGCAGACTAGCAGGGTAAAACGGCGTTCAGTGCTCCATGTCCCGAATAATAGTTGGCCAGAATTTATCATTCACTAGCGGGTTCTCGTAACTATGATTTTGATGCGTCAGCTCTTTACCGGGCAGTGTGTAAAGGAATCACCGATACAGTGATCACACATTCCAAAATCGAAGGCATACATATCAATAAGTCCTCGACATTCCGAACTTCAGTCTACCAAAACTGCGACTTATTCTACTCATTCAGTGTATGGTCTTCTTTAACCAAATGAAATATCCTCAACAATTCTCACACAGTGCATAATAAAGTCTACGATGCAGTAATCGGACATTCCGCATTGGACTCAACACATCAAACATTGTATTCTTGACAAATGTTAGTCATGCAAAATTACGACCTAATCGACATGTTCACACGATGTTTCCTCAGTTGTCCCGCGCAGATTTATTCCTCATTCCAGTCACTTCGGAAAGCGGGATGTGGAGTTTTTTTTCAAGGCGGAAAAATGAGTGGCATTCAAACAGCCGCTATGCAGTTTATCCACCTCCTTGTTGTGTATCATAATGTAACCTGAACACCGGATAACATCGAGGAGATGAATGCATTGCCTGGTTCTACACACATGATTTGATCAGGGGCCTATCTGGGTAATTTTTAATTCCACGTCTGGATCAGTTTCCACTCTGTAGGAACTGCGAATTTAGTCTAAGCAAAATAGCATCTGGGTTGCTTGAATCAGAGCAGTTCTGCCAAACTGTTTGTTTAGTGTGTGACTCCTATGGAAATACCTCACGAATTAGACAGAAACCCACTGTGAGCAACTGTTTTCTTAGAGATAATAGAAAAATGTTTTTGATTACCACAGTTCAGTTTCTCACATTTCTCGCTCGATATATCGACGGATGTTACTGTGACATTACCCTGGATCAGGATAAATCTCAACTGATCTAAACGTTCTATGCAAAAGAAGATCGATAAAGTAAAACATGTTCATGGTCAAGTGAATTGTATCCTTGCGTCCTACATGTGAGGTCCCGCGTTTGGTGCTGATTTGGAATGATGGATCAGCGATGCCGATGAAACCGGAATGCATCCAGTCCACTGTCCGGTATTTCTTCACATTTCAGGTTACAATACGTATAGCTACACACGTGCAGATAATGTGCATATCTGAGTGTGTGGAAAATATCTGAAACAAATCTTAGGATTCATGACAGGAGGGGTCAGTTCCATTTTTATGTAGGCTGAACTACAATGTTTGCTGGTTTTCATCGACGGCTGGGATGTGTGCGGAAGGTGAGATTTCCGAACTGATATCATTCCTGGATGCAGTCAGATGGCGCTGTGGTGAATCCAATATTGTTCGCACGGTTGGAGGCCAGTTGCGGGGATTTGAGGATCGTCCTGCTAATCGTAACCTAGGGGTAAATTGGAAAGAAAATTCAAAACTTCATTGGTTCATTGAGTACCGAGTGATTACCAGATAAGAATTCCGACCCGTGGTCCCCAAATTTTGATCACTGTCACCGACAATTACTTCAGATGTAGTCGGATTTTGCATCCTAGTCATGACTGAGACATCCTTGTGCAATTAGGCGACAGGAACGTACATGCATGTCAAAATATTTCAGAAATAAATGTAGTAATACACTTCTTACTCCCTGATGTTTCAAACATTGTTTCGGATACTGATTCTATTTTGCTCCCGACGTATTTAGTACAGTTGGAGTAACGGTCTCCTGGCTTTGACTTTGAGCATCTAAACCTGTTCATACGAGAGGATGATAGATCCGAGGCAGTTGAATGAATTGGCCTAATTTATCGACTCTTTCTTTATAGAGATCAGTCGAAGGCTTTTTCCATGAGGCGCATCATCAAGAGA